CGTAATAAGATGGGATATGTGATTTGTGGTTACATCTTGTATATTGCTTTAGGGCCTTTATATATAAGAGTCTAAAATGTGTTGTGGTTTTTAACATGTTTATGAAATGCTGCCTTCACACGCTGACGATTAAATTGAAAAGTCAGGGATTTCTGTTATGGCACCATATGTATAGATATATATCTGTCAACAATTAACATGCTTCAGTAATACCTCTGTTTTATTTAAAAGCCACATATGCGGAAGAATTTGCCTGAGCACTTAGAAAACAAACCACAAATCATTATTTTGCTCTGGTTTGGATACGTTTATTTGCTCTTTTTTCAATTAACGTTGTTAAAAAACAGTACACTGTAAAAAAATCCAACTTGACAACAAAAATAAATTACTTGTTTATTTGTTTAGTTGGAGTGGCAAAAATCTAAAAAAAAAAAAAAAAAAGAAAAAAAGAAATTCTGTACAACTATTTGTACCATTTCACACGTTTAATTAAGTGAAATCAAATTTTCCTTCATTAAGTTAAACAGATTAGTTTTGTGAGCAAAACTTCGTAAGTTCACCCCCCCCCCAAAAAAAAAAACTTTTGCCAATTTGTTACTTTAAGTAGAGTTAATCTCAGACCTCCTCATTTCTTACCGTAACAACAACAAATAATAGTAACACCAGTAATAACATTAATGTTATTTTCATTTTAACAACAAAATACTACTGCAATAATGGTAACGTAATTTGAAAATATTATTCATGTGTAATTGATCTTTTTATTTGGGGGGGGGGGTCATTTCACAATTACCTAGTTCGCTCTAAATTTTAATTCTAATAGCTAGAAAGATCAGTTAATAAATCAAACTTTCAAAGCACCTGAAAGTAGTGTAAGTGAGGCCAGCAGGGGGCACTCAACCTGCGGTCTCTATGGGTCCTAACGCCCCAGTATAGTAAAGGAGAGTGCTTAGTGAATACTTTATTTCGGAAAAGACGCTAAAACAAGGTCCTGACTCTCTGCGGTCGTTAAAAATACCAGGATGTCCTTCGAATAGAGTAGGGGTTTAACTCTGGCATATTAGCCAAATTTGCCTACTGGCCTACGTCCATCATGGCCTCCTAACCATCCACTCCATTAATTAGCTGGTTGTGTGGTGTGTGGCAGGCACGTGCACACATAGGGCTCAACCTGTGCAGTGCACATGCCCTTTTTAGTCTTGGATAGAAAGTGCCCTTCCAAAATGATCAAAAGTGCCCTGCGACGCAACACACCCTCGGTCCCGCCCTTCAGTAAGCGCGCGACAACACCGCTCTTGAGTACGCGCGCGACAACACAGCTGATCAGAACGCGCACGATAACACAGCTGATCATAACGCGTGCGACAACACCGCTCTTTAGTACGCGCGCGACACACACTGCTGGAAGCTCATGATGGACTGATTACTAGGACTATAAACACACCTCATTCCCACAGACTCTTTTCTGAGTCTTGTTTTGCCCTGTGAAGCATTACAAAGCATTTTTCCGTTTGTCCTGTTTTTATTCTTGTCTTGTTAATCGTCATTGTTGTTTTGCCTCCTGTCATGTTTCTAATTCTTGTGTCTAGTAAATAATGGTGGGTAAAGTGAGGCTTCATGACACACTGAAACAGTCGAAGCAAATGTGTCGGAGCTTAAAAACTTTAAGAAACCTATCTCTCTGTTTTTACGTGTTTTGTTATAACTTTGATTTGACATCTAAATGAACAGTTTGTGTATAAATTTGTCTTGTTTTGGTAATAAAACATAAACATAATTAAAAAAAATAAAGTCATCATTTCAGAGAATTTAAACAAGTTGGGAATCAAACTCATGCCATTTGCTGCACAGTTGCTCTGTGCACTCGTACGGTCCACTAGGCTACACAAGGCAGAGTTATTTTCTGACCCTGACAGTCACACACAGATTCGCCAGGTCTCGAAATGCTTCTGAAATAACCAATGCTTTGAATTGCTTTAGTCACGTAACCTGTGTGTTTCGAATCACCTTAGTCATGTGACCTGGGTGTTTCGAAACATGCTTTGGTGCAGTGTTTTAAAATACGTGCACTTCGAGATCTCGAAACTGTGTCTGTGTTTCATGACAGCCATCCCTACTAATAGATGTTTGGTTAACATCTGTCTCTGTTTAAGGTTTTTCTTATTATTATTATTGAACTATGTTTATTTGTTCTGATATTGTATTATTTCTTAGTACTAATTTCCACAGTTTTTTGTTCACTTAACTTTTTGTGAACCATTTTTAGGTCAGTACATCTAATGTTTTCAAAAGTGAGTTCACTCAAATTCAGGCCTTCCAGTTCTGCAAGAAGTTTAGGTACAGAGTAGTTCACCTCTCCAGAAAACGAATAACCTCATGTAACCCAACTAAACATTGCTTGTATTACTGACAAATAATTTTAGGTCAGTGCAGCTGATGTTTTCAAAGTCGAGTGAACAAGAAAAAGCGAAAGGAAATAAGAATTATACTTTTTTTGCTGTTGTACTGGCTTATTTTTGTTTACAGTGTAGTATGTTGTAAAGACCATAATATTCATTCATAAGAAAAATCAAAAAGCATACCTGAGTCAATCCAGTTACACAGCAGGCCTTTGTTGTCAAATATGTGAAAATCGAATTTCTTAAGGTATGAAAAAAAGCTGATATCGGTTTTGTTCAAACGCACATTTTCTGCAAAGGTGGTGTTTTTCTAGTCCACCTACAGAGCATCTTTGAACAATATTTTTTTTATGTTACCCTATAAAATGAATTTATAAGTGCCAGACTACAGACAATATGATATTGTTATGAGTCTCTATGAGTTTTCCTGCATACTAACTCACTGGACGGCTTCTTGTTATTGCCTTATGAGGCTTTTGATATAGGTCTCAGGGCACTCATAAGCTCCCATTCATTTAGAGAGAACCATAAATAAGTGAACTACAAAGCAAAAATCGACTGCTTCAGTCATGAGCAAATGGGTCTCAGAGGAACGTGCTGACTACTGTAAATGATCAGCTGGTTTATGGAGATAATTCAGTAGAGTGGAGTTAAAATGAACAGTTTAGAAGACCTCAACCAACATTAAGTTGTTTTGTTTGGTTAAGTTGCTGTGCTCATTACGCATATGTTTTTCCTGACTCTTTGCCCAGCAGTATCCATCAGGACTTTCCTTCATCACATTTTGATATCATACCATAAAATTTTGAGCGGCAGTACTTAAGAACAAAGAAAGTGGTGTGTGCTGTAGCAACCATAATGCTTAAAACATCAAGACAAGAGAGCGCTTGACCTGCCCAGCCCTAAGTCACAATACTGGGCGTTCTTATCGCTGTCTCATATCCTCTTGTGAAATGGAGCACTCGTGTTAATCATTCACCTGAGCCAATCTAGTTCATTCAATGCCACAAGCACAGAAAATAAATGATTGTTTTTTCTTAATTTGGAAAAAGGAGCTAGCATAATCTTTCAGGTTATTAATATTTTGTTTTCATGTTATGGCCACAACAGGAAAAAAAATGTTGTGTAAAATGCAATTGTTACATTAAGGAACTAATTCACCAGATTGTAATCTTGATTAGTTTTCTTGGGGTAACCTGATTTAGTTAGTTCATTACCAAACATTTTTTTCATTTGATACTTGCTATTTTTTATTTTATTTTTTTGGTACTAATGTTGTCAGTTGTTTTAGATGATACAACATGATGTGTATTTCAAGTTAGGGTTGCACGATATTAGGAAAATCTGATATAGTGATATTTTAATTTTCTGTGATAAATGTTGCTATTTTCTTACTTTGCTTTGTCTCAGTTTTAATTAAAAAAATGTTTTTAATCAAGTACAATCTTTTCTTGTTTTCATTTTTCTTTAATCTTTTCTGTTCAGTTGTTTTCCCTTAAAAAAACTGCCAGTGGGTCAACTAAAATAATCTTGTTTTTTACTTTAAAATGTAGATATTTGGACTAGAACAATTCTAAGCAAGAAAAACATTAATTTTTCTGCATAAATCAACGAAATTCTGGCAAAATACGGTAATTAAATACAATTATGGTCAACTACAATTTAGACACAACGTGGCATATCTTGCAATTTGACTATACGCACATTGCGATATCGATGCTGAAACGATAAATTGTGCAGCCCTATTGCAGTTTACCATACCTCAATAAGAATGAATGAATAAAACAACAAATAATACAATTATTATGCTTTTAAATAATAGGGTGCAGCTAAATATGTTTTATGTTTTTTTTTTTTTTTTTTTTTTTTTTACTTATCCAATATTATATTAACCTTTTTTTCTTACTATTATTATGAAAGTTTCTCATTTGGACTAAATTTTTTAAACTAGTTTATATTAGAAAATTACATTTACGCCTTCATGATAATGGTCTTAAAGGTCTTTTCTCTGTTTTTTGTTTGTTTGTTTTTTCTGGTCACATGACAACAAAATGGCTTCCTGTGGGTTTATTATTCAATACTAATTTAAATTTCAGGAACAAATGTTGTATTAATATAACTACTTACTGATGAGCATTGCCTATATATAGACAAATAAATAGATAAACGTATGCCAATTTTTTTTTTTTTCCCAAGAACATCAGATTCAAATTTTTTCTTCCTTTCTCAATTATACCCATCTGGACAATTAGCTTACACCATACATTTATATAAACCTGAAAACACTCACCAAATTACTTCATAAATTAACAACTTAAACATTAAAAAAAAACATGCTATTTATAAAAGGTGAACATTAAAAGGTAATATTTAGTATGATTTTAGTATTTTCCCCGTGTCGTTAGTAACATATTCGTAAAGAAATAAATAAACAGGCGTGCCCTATATAAAGTAACTTGGCTATTTTAATAAAGCTAAAATAATGCAGAAAACACTCAACAGGTGCACGTCAGTAAAATGCATCGTCCTTCTCATGACATTTGACCCGAATCAGGTGATTTCAACAAAAAATAAACTCAGGTGAACTAAAAATGTACTTACATGTGTCTCTTCTCATTCACGACCTGCTCGTGCAGTGCAACAGAAAGTCCGAACAAACTGCCTGCTGTTTTTCCCTCTTTGACGACTGCAAAGCTCACATCCAAGTTGAACGCCTGACAGAGACGAGCCGCGCTCAAAACAAACACCAGGGTTAAACGGAGTCCTTTGCGGTGAAATACAATCATTTTTTCTGTTGGTCTCCGCGGTGTTTTTGTTCGGCGAAACGCAGAGAGAGAGAGAGAGTGCAGGACAAAGATTATATGAGGGTCTGAACAGAAGCGGTTTTCTCAGACGCTGTGAACTGATTGTTCATATTCGTCATTCTTCCGGGGTGTTCGCGCCAGTCATCGCTAAAAACCTGACTGGAGGGCATTGAATGAAACACACTGACATGCACCTTCATCGAAGGACAGACTGACACAAGCTACAGCTAGACTACATTTGTTGATTAAGGCACCTCAGAATGACTAAAAAAGAGCTTTTCAAACTTTTTTTCTCTTTGTCTCCTGAGGGACGCTTTCATAAAACAGTCAAGAAGCTGTGAGTGATGGTAAAAATACATTATAACTTCGTAATTACGTTATAATGACGTGTAAGTTAATGTTTTGATGTACGTCAGTAAATTATTTATATAATTTCTTGAAATGCATATTTTGACAATTTTGTCTCCCCACTAAATTTAACTCAATTAGAAAGTGAAATTAAATAAATGAAAAGTAGGCTATTCTCTGAACATTGGAACACATTTATTTTTTAATTTGCACTAACAAACAAGCAGCCCTTTTAGGTCCCTGCGGGTCCTCAAACCTCAGAATACATCTGGAGCATTAATGGGACTTGTACAAACATTTGAAACAAAAATTGTGATTTACTGCATTATGGGCTTTCATTTAAATTAAAAACCCTTAAGCATTTACAGGGGTATACTTAGACCTTTTTTGAATTAATAAATTCTATGTAAGAAATGTTAGTGAAGTTACCATTGACCATAAACACATGGGCTTGCCTGATACTGGGTTAAGCATTTAACCTCAAACTTATCATTCGTTCATTCATTTTGTGCTTAGTCCCTTTATAAATTAGTGGTCGCCACAGCGGAATTAACCACCAACTTATCCAGCATATGTTTTACATAGCAGATGCCCTTCACAACCCAGCACTAAGAAACACCCATACACTCTTGCATTCACACCCAAAATACACTACAGCCAATTTAGTTTATTCAATTCAACTGTATCACATAAGGGAAACCGGAGCACCCGGAGGAAACCCACACGAATGAGGAGAACATGCAAACTGCACACAGAAATGCCAATTGACCCAGTTGGGACTCAAACCAGTGACCTTCTTGCTGTGAGGTGGCAGCACTACCAACTGCGCCACTGCGTCGCCTGTAGCAAAATTATAATCATCTAAACACATGCACTTTCTGGTCAAATAAGCCATGTAGCATTGTATTACTAATAACTATGCATTTGATGGCTTTCAGCAACAGGCCATAATTCACCTAATCAAATGCTTTGGCCCAATTTATACAAAAGTGCTACATGGTATTTTTGATCCAAAGTGATAATAATGTCATTCATTGATAGTGTTATTATTAAATGTCTTGTCTGAAGCTTGATTGAGTGTTTCTGATTATTTGCTGCCAAAATAGTAGTTTGACAGTTGATTTTCCATTTATTCAAACATGAAAATAGGGTGATAATTATCAGGTAGAGAAGGATCTCCACATTTTAGTAATGGAAAAATGATTGCTGGCTTCCAAGAGCTGAGAATCAGATCACTAAGACTCATAACAGAGGTAATGAGTCATTTATGTAGTCATGATTTAAATCATGTTTAGCTTAGAATCAGGGAAATGCTTGTTGTAAATAGCACAAACTCTCAGCTGCATCTCATTCCCATGGAAAACTTATGCTGATAACTTGAAACAAGCTTAGTTGTTTTAGCCTGTCTGAGATTACCATCATCTCTTTAACCATCTTAGATAATTAACAATGCAACAACCAGCAATTGATGTCAGGTTAAGTTTGTCAAAGTGGTTTCTGGAACATGGTACTGTAGCTGGCCAAGCATGCATGTTCTTGAGCGATTTGCCAGCTTCTGTTGCTTTTTATGTTAAGTAAATTATTTTTAATTACTGAACCTTTTTTGAATTACTGAACTAAAATTAAAACATATTAAAGACTACAGTGCACATGTATTGTCCACTTGATTAAGTACACTTGTGTAACTACATTTTAATGTAAGTAATAATTAAATCATATGGCAGTAACTCAACACTTTTAGACATAAACTCTATGTATTTGTGGTCAAAATGATCTTTAATATGAAAATAAAAATGGGGAAGAAATGTGACTGAACATGGCAAGGCTGATCTGAGTATGTTAGAAACGGATATTATAGGATTTTCATAGAATGGTCTAGAAATAAAAAAATATCAAGTGAGCTGCAGTTCTGTGGTCTTGTTGTTGTCAAAGGAGAATGGCCAGACTGGTTGGAGCTGACAGAAAAGGCATCTGCAACTCAAGAAACCACTCTTTACAATCCAGCTCTGTCAAATCTTAAAGCAGACAACCTACAGCAGCAGAAGAACAGACTGGTGACACTCCTGTCAGATAAACTCAGGCTACAGTTCACACATTCACCAAAGTTTGACAATAGATTAGAGAATGGTTGCCTGGTCTAGTGAGTCTCTGTTTCTGCTGTCACATTCAGATGATTGGATCAGAACTTGGCTTAAACGCCATTAAGGCACTGATCCATCCTACCTTGCCTCAATAGTTGTGACAGCTGGTGGTGCGATTCTGTGGGGAATATTTTCTTGGCACACTTTGGAACCCATAGTACCAATTGATTAATCAGACTACCAGATGTTGCTGACCATAAACCCATACCAAACAGTATAACATAGCATGTTTCACATCTCAAATTGGTTTCTTAAACATGACAATGGATGCTTTTCATATCCTTCCTCATTTCCTCACTCCTCTGTCCTAAGACCTGGAAACCAATCAAGCTCATCCATCTAGGACATCTCAATCCCTTAATTGCACCGTGAGAATTGAGAAGAGAGGAGGCTTCCTGAGGAATCAGGAGCAAGAATACACAGGTGGATACTTTGCAGAAGTGTTTTACTCACTAAACATAAAGCATGTTGTAAATTATCTTCCCATTTATACTTTTATCAATAATTGCCTAATTGCAGCAGCAAATTTAAAAATATATTCATGAGAATATTAAAAATAACGTTATTGTAAATGGGGGTTGTTTTAATAGTTCCTGTAATTTTGATGTAACATTTTCAGCACAAATAAAAAGCAGTTAATCGCTGGAAATAATTGTTAAAAATAACAGTGGTGTTTTGTGGAGGTATAAAAAGTATTTCATACAAATAATTTTCTCTAATATTAAAGAATCATGCTGGCAAGCAAAATCAGTGTTGTACAAAAGGGGTTCCCAAACTTTTCAGCCCGTGACCCCCAAAATAACAATGCCACACTGTAAAACCCAAAAAGTTAAGGTAACTCAAACCATTCGTAGAAACCTGTTTAAGTTCAAAAACTAATTCTCAGGGGTTATAAATATAGAAACCTTGCATGCAACAGCGCACACACACCAATAGGCCCAAGTCTATTCTTCATTTAATTTTTTTATGTAAAACCCCAAAAGTTAAGGTAACTCAAATCGTTTTAAGAAACTGATTGCAACAAACCATTTAGGTAAAAAAAAAAACTGGTCCCACTTTATATTAAGTGGCCTTAACTAATAAGTACTTACACAGGAATTAATAGTTTGTTACAATGTACTTATTGTGTAACTAATTGTATTTACTGTGTACTTATGCTTGATTAAATACCAGTATGTAATTACATCTGTAATTAACTTTTGTAATTACATTTGTAAATACACTGTTGATCCCTTACACCTTAACCCACCCTTAAACCTACCCATATCACCAAACCTGTTCATGTCCCAACCTCTATCCCAACTCAAAAGCACCACAAGTGTTCTCAAATACATCATAAACACAGTAAGTACATTGTATATATGTTTTGATGGAAGTACATAGTAGTTAAGGACACTTAATATAAAGTGGGAGCAAAAAACTAATCCTAATGAGTACTGTGAACCTAATCCATTTGAGTATATAAAGCAATTTGAGCACAGCAAAACCCAATAAATGAAGAGAACTCAAACCAACTGGGCACTGTAAAACCCAATAAGTCAACTGAAATCGTTTGAGGAAACCAGTTGTACAAACCATATGAAAAACTAAATCTATATGAAAACTGTGAACTCCATTTAGGTTGAAGTAATGAGGTATTTAATTAACTCATTACCTTCAACACTGAGTTCAAAACTTTTTCTAAAGAGTAGAATTCACTTTCAGTAAATTTTGAGTTAACTACACTCATTTCATTTGATAGAGTTGACTGTTGGGCTTTACATTGTATATGTGAGCGCATATCACATCAATCTGCTTAATCTGATGCTATTGCTGTGTCTTTAATATAATGTAGTCACCCCAAGGGTTGCAATCCAATAGAAAATAAATAAATAAATAAAAAGGCTGTAACTATAAACTACTCTTTACATCTTCAGTAGGTTACAGATAAAATATGGTAATTCTAATAGTTTAATAAAACTAGATTTTTGGAAATCACCAAGCAACTCCCCTTCATTGTCCAGCGACTCCCTGGTGGTCCCGCCGACCCCCACTTTGGCAACCACTGGTGTACAGTATTCATTAAATGTCAATGTTTTGAATGGATGCTAATAGAAACAAGGATATAACATTTCACTTGATTCTGTTCCTCTGTCCTTGAATCTTTTCCTTGCATCCTTCCCTTGCATCCAGAAAGGCCGGAGCTAAGTCTCAAGAAAATAGAGATAAAATGACACACAGAAAAGAATTGAACTGTACTGTACCTAAATGGTCGCCAAATTTGCTGCACCTGTCTGATGCTGTTTGTCAATATGGACCAAAATCTCTGAGGAATGTTTTCAGCAATGGTGGTCCAATTTTGTATTAGCAATATGTAAAGTGGTCAGTCTGTGTGACCTTCATTGGCCACCGCGATGCAGTATTAGTTGATGTGGGAAGTAAAACCATCTTAACCTGTGATGAATACTGCAATTAAATGCAAAATAAACTTTTTTTAATACTCAGAAATGTGTGTCATTAGTGCCCTAAGATGTTTAAGAAGGGTCATAAAGAAGTCATAGATTCCTGCGTTTCCCTATTTTTCACTTAGTTATCAGCCCTCCACATTCACTCACATACTCTCACGCTCCAGGCTACTGACCTAATAAGACCAGTGTGTATGTGCCCTGGGAG